TCTCCGTAAATATGGCTCTAATCGCGGAAAGAGAGGTGTTCAGATGGTCGAAATTTTCATACCCGGATTTCCCAGTATATAATATTCCAAAATCCTTTATTTATCGGCTGGTGGGCCTTCCAAACCTTTAAATCGATTTATCTCCGTAAATATGGCTCTAATCGCGAAAAGAGGGGTGTTCAGAAGATCGAAATTTTCATACCCGGATTTCTCAGTATATAATATTCCAAAATCCTTTGTTTATCGGCTGGTGGGCCTTCCAAACCTTTAAATCGATTTATCTCCGTTAATATGGCTCTAATCGCGAAAAGAGGGGTGTTCAGATGGTCGAAATTTTCATACCCGGATTTCTCAGTATATAATATTCCAAAATCCTTTATTCATCGGCTGGTGGGCCTTCCAAACCTTTAAATCGATTTATCTCCGTAAATATGGCTCTAATCGCGGAAAGAGAGGTGTTCAGATGGTCGAAATTTTCATACCCGGATTTCCCAGTATATAATATTCCAAAATCCTTTATTTATCGGCTGGTGGGCCTTCCAAACCTTTAAATCGATTTATCTCCGTAAATATGGCTCTAATCGCGAAAAGAGGGGTGTTCAGAAGATCGAAATTTTCATACCCGGATTTCTCAGTATATAATATTCCAAAATCCTTTGTTTATCGGCTGGTGGGCCTTCCAAACCTTTAAATCGATTTATCTCCGTTAATATGGCTCTAATCGCGAAAAGAGGGGTGTTCAGATGGTCGAAATTTTCATACCCGGATTTCTCAGTATATAATATTCCAAAATCCTTTATTCATCGGCTGGTGGGCCTTCCAAACCTTTAAATCGATTTATCTCCGTAAATATGGCTCTAATCGCGGAAAGAGAGGTGTTCAGATGGTCGAAATTTTCATACCCGGATTTCCCAGTATATAATATTCCAAAATCCTTTATTTATCGGCTGGTGGGCCTTCCAAACCTTTAAATCGATTTATCTCCGTAAATATGGCTCTAATCGCGAAAAGAGGGGTGTTCAGAAGATCGAAATTTTCATACCCGGATTTCTCAGTATATAATATTCCAAAATCCTTTGTTTATCGGCTGGTGGGCCTTCCAAACCTTTAAATCGATTTATCTCCGTTAATATGGCTCTAATCGCGAAAAGAGGGGTGTTCAGATGGTCGAAATTTTCATACCCGGATTTCTCAGTATATAATATTCCAAAATCCTCTATTCATCGGCTGGTGGGCCTTCCAAACCTTTAAATCGATTTATCTCCGTAAAAATGGCTCTAATCGCGAAAAGAGGGGTGTTCAGATGGTCGAAATTTTCATACCCGGATTTCTCAGTATATAATATTCCAAAAACCTCTATTCATCGGCTGGTGGGCCTACCAAACCTTTAAATCGATTTATCTCCGTAAATATAGCTCTAATCGCGAAAACAGGGGTGTTCAGATGCTCGAAATTTTCATACCCGGATTTTCCAGTATATAAGGGTACAAAATCCTTTATTTATCGGCTGGTGGCCCTTCCCAACCTTTAAATCGATTTATCTCCGTAAATATAGCTCTAATCGCGAAAACAGGGGTGTTCAGATGCTCGAAATTTTCATTCTCGGATTTCCCAGTGTTAAATATTACAAAAACCTTTATTTATCGGCTGGTGGGCCTACCAAACCTTTAAATCGATTTATCTCCGTAAATATAGCTTTAATCGCGAAAACAGGGGTGTTCAGATGCTCGAAATTTCCATACCCGGATTTCCAAGTGTTAAATATTACAAAATCCTTTATTTATCGGCTGGTGGACCTACCAAACATTTAAATCGATTTATCTCCGTAAATATAGCTCTAATCGCGAAAACAGGGGTGTTCAGATGCTCGAAATTTTCATACCCGGATTTTCCAGTATAAAATATTACAAAATCCTTTATTTATCGGCTGGTGGCCCTTCCCAACCTTTAAATCGATTTATCTCCGTAAATATTGCTCTAATCGCGAAAACAGGGGTGTTCAGATGCTCGAAATTTTCATACCCGGATTTCCCAGTGTTAAATATTACAAAATCCTTTATTTATCGGCTGGTGGGCCTACCAAACCTTTAAATCGATTTATCTCCGTAAATATAGCTCTAATCGCAAAAAGAGGGGTGTTCAGATGCTCGAAATTTTCATACTCGGATTTCCCAGTGTTAAATATTCCAAAATCCTATATTTATCGGCTGGTGGGCCTTCCAAAACTTTAAATCGATTTATCTCCGTAAATATAGCTTTAATCGCGAAAACAGGGGTGTTCAGATGCTCGAAATTTCCATACCCGGATTTCCAAGTGTTAAATATTACAAAATCCTTTATTTATCGGCTGGTGGACCTACCAAACATTTAAATCGATTTATCTCCGTAAATATAGCTCTAATCGCGAAACCAGGGGTGTTCAGATGCTCAAAATTTTCATACCCGGATTTCCCAGTATAAAATATTACAAAATCCTTTATTTATCGGCTGGTGGGCCTACCAAACCTTTAAATCGATTTATCTCCGTAAATATTGCTCTAATCGCGAAAACAGGGGTGTTCAGATGCTCGAAATTTTCATACCCGGATTTCCCAGTGTTAAATATTACAAAATCCTTTATTTATCGGCTGGTGGGCCTACCAAACCTTTAAATCGATTTATCTCCGTAAATATAGCTGTAATCGCAAAAAGAGGGGTGTTCAGATGCTCGAAATTTTCATACTCGGATTTCCCAGTGTTAAATATTCCAAAATCCTTTATTTATCGGCTGGTGGGCCTTCCAAACCTTTAAATCGATTTATCTCCGTAAATATGGCTCTAATCGCGAAAACAGGGGTGTTCAGATGCTCGAAATTTTCATACCCGGATTTCCCAGTATAAAATATTACAAAATCCTTTATTTATCAGCTGGTGGCCCTTCCCAACCTTTAAATCGATTTATCTCCGTAAATATAGCTCTAATCACGAAAACAGGGGTGTTCAGATGCTCGAAATTTTCATTCTCGGATTTCCCAGTGTTAAATATTACAAAAACCTTTATTTATCGGCTGGTGGGCCTACCAAACCTTTAAATCGATTTATCTCCGTAAATATAGCTCTAACCGCGAAAACAGGGGTGTTCAGATGCTCGAAATTTTCATACCCGGATTTCCCAGTATAAAATATTACAAAATCCTTTATTTATCGGCTGGTGGCCCTTCCCAACCTTTAAATCGATTTATCTCCGTAAATATAGCTCTAATCGCGAAAACAGGGGTGTTCAGATGCTCGAAATTTTCATTCTCGGATTTCCCAGTGTTAAATATTACAAAATCCTTTATTTATCGGCTGGTGGGCCTACCAAACCTTTAAATCGATTTATCTCCGTAAATATAGCTTTAATCGCGAAAACAGGGGTGTTCAGATGCTCGAAATTTTCATACCCGGATTTCCCAGTGTTAAATATTACAAAATCCTTTATTTATCGGCTGGTGGGCCTACCAAACCTTTAAATCGATTTATCTCCGTAAATATGGCTCTAATCGCGAAAAGAGGGGTGTTCAGATGGTCGAAATTTTCATACCCGGATTTCCCAGTATATAATATTCTGTAAAAATGAACAGGTCTAATAAACATGCCAAAAAAGATCCCTTCTTCACAGTTTAGGCCAATAAGCTATGGGAATCGTTCTTTGAAGAACGATCACCGTCATTTGCTATTAGGCTTGCTAGCCATCTTGACTTCAAAGCCGACCCTTTTAAGACTTCATAACTTTGATAATAAGAGTGCAAACATTAACACTAAGAACAATGAAAAATGCCAAAATATAAAGCAATGATTGTTTACCCGAAAACCTCATCGCTAATTATTGCGCACTTGAATTTCACAAGACAAAACTCGTAGGTGACTAAACTTATGCATGAAATTTGAATTTTCAGGAATATCTCCGAAGTTTCGTGTAATTTTCCGAAGTTCCATGAAGATCTCCGAAGTTCCATGAAGTTCTCCGTGAACTTCTTTGAAATTCCGAAAATTTTTCACAATGCCATTGATTCCCCAATGTCCATGAAATTTTTTGAACTATCATGATATTCTTTGAAAGCCTCTGTACATCCACGGATTTACTCTAAATTTTAATAAGTTCCTTGAGCCCTGGTCTTCTACGAAGTATTCTGAACAAATGATTAATTTCGTAACCTTCTCGGAATAAAATCACGCCTCTTAAATATTGTTTAAGTATCTTAGAAAACAAATCCAAAGACCTTCAAGTTATCAAAGACCTCTATAAAGTCCTCTTATATTTTTTTTTTTTCAAGAATGCAGCAATGCTTTTTCCTGACATGGGAAGGGTCTGGATGATTTTAACACACTTGGAATGAAATTCAGCTGCTTAGATTTTATTCATTGCAAACACGGAACAGTTGTTGTTCAATATCTTTTTTCCTTTGAAAGTGCCCATCTTGAGATGTGTGGACGACTTGTAGATAATGGTCTGTCTTTCTGTTGAAAAAACTAACTAACTAAATAATTTTATGCAGTGTAGTAAGATATATATATTTTATATATTTTCTTATGACAGCTCATGTAATATTCAACAAATCATCTTTTGAAAACATTTTTGTAGGATCAATTTTTAGGAATAATTTTTTGTAGATGTTGGAAAAATAAGTTCGGCCCTTTTCAAACGTTGGTTTTGATTTTTATAAATAATATTAATATGCAAAGTTTCTTAATGGACTGTTTACACTAACACTAGTTCACTAGCTCAGCAAGCTCAACCAACTAGTGAAATTCGTGAGTGCACCTTATGATATGTATGGATTATCATCATTCTCGACCAGCATTGAAGAATTCCTGGTTGAATTTATGAAGAAATTTTATGGGTTTTTAAATTAATAGAAGCGCACAATCAAGCAAATAAAAATCCCCTAAATAAAACAAAACTTTCTTTGATGAAGAAAAAAACTAACTTTCACAGATCCATCAACTGAAACTAATTCAACTCATTACACCAATTGCAGGAAACAGTCGCATGGAAAACGTTCGCCGGTATCGCACGCGATTCCGATTCGCTCAACTCGCTGGTGCGGATCATCCCACGGACCACGATGGGCTTCGTGCAGGAAGTCGTCAATTCGTTCCGGGTATATTATTTACACATTTTTTTTTCTAATTTCCTCGTGAATGTAAGACCCTTTTCCCAATCACCAAAAGCAAAGGGGACCACGTGTTATCGTGCTGACCCGAATGGGAGCTCTCGAGGGTCGCATCCAGAAGGTGAAGGGCGGTGCCCAGGGGGAGTTTCTCGCCTTCAAAGGAATCCGCTACGGACAGCCTCCGGTGGGGAAGCTTCGCTTCAAGGCTCCACTTCCCGCTCAACCGTGGAAAGGAATCAAGAGTGCTCTGCGAGAGGCATCCGTCTGTCCCCACAGGAGCATGATCTTGGACAACTACAAGGGCAGCGAGGATTGTCTGTTTATAAATGTTTACTCGCCGGATTTACCCGGCGGGGACTAGTAAGCGTTGATGGGTGTTGGTTTGAAATGAAGGCTGGAATAACGGGAACTCATTCTTACAGCAATCCAAATTTTCCGGTGATGGTCTGGCTACATGGCGGAGCGTTTTCGTTCGGTTCCGGAAACTCATTTCTGTACGGCCCGGATTACCTCGTGCCGGAAGGAATCGTGTTGGTCACTTTCAACTATCGGTTAGGTCCCCTTGGGTTCCTGAGTGTCGGAAAAGATGCTTCGGGTAATGCCGGCATCAAAGACCAGGTGTTGGCTTTGAAATGGGTCCGGGATAATATTGCCGCTTTCGGTGGAAACCCCAAGGACGTCACAATTTTCGGACAATCGGCTGGATCGGTTTCCGTGCACTTGCTAATGATGTCCCCGCTGGCGAAGGGATTGTTCCACAAAGCGATCGCTCAAAGTGGATCGGCGATGAATCCATGGGCCATCGCCAGGAGCCCGAAGGAACGCGGTTTTCTTCTGGGACAGCAGCTGGGCTGCTTTACAAACAGCACGGACGAGCTGCTGAGCTGCTTGCGAAAAGCTTCTCCGCAGAAGATTGTCAACGCAGCGTCACAGACGATCACTCAAGATGATGTTAAGCGAAGTATAGGGTTACCATTTGTACCGTCGATTGAAAATTGGACCGGCGAGGATGCTTCCGAAGAAGAACCACTGATAACCAAGGACCCGATGGCAATTATGAAGAGCGGGAGCTACAACCATGTGCCACTGATCACTGGTTTCAACTCAGACGAAGCAATGTTGTTCTTGAGACGTGAGTAAACGAACATTTTGATATACTTTTTACGAAATCTCATAATTTAACTATGTAGGAGTTCGAAAGGATCCAAACTTGCTGCAGAGCATCGATGGAGACTTCCAGAGGATGATACCAATCGGTCTGCATGTTGAACGTGATACAGCCGAGGGCGAACTGGTGGCACAGCGTATACGGGATTACTACATAGGTGATCAACACATAACCAACTCCTCAGTTCAGAACATGATGAACGTAAGATCCGTATCTGGCTATTGTAACAACCGAGTGCACTGACAGCTTCCTCAATTCGTTCCACAGATGATGTCCGACATCATGTTCATGCATGGCATCACCGATCTGGCCCGGTTGAACGCTGCCGCCACCGGTCAGGAGTCGACCTGGCTCTATCGGTTCGCGTATGATGGATCGCTAGGTATCTACAAGCGGATATTGGGGATCGATTGGCCCGGTGCTTGCCATGGTGACGAACTGGGATATCTGTTTCACTTTGGAGTGCTGAACATTCGGCTTGACAATTCGTCGACCGAACTGCTAACCATGAACAAGATGACCCGGTTATGGACCAACTTTGCCAAGTATGGGTAAGTACGATGGTGAAAAATTCGGTTTACACAACTCTCCAAAACATGCATGTTTTATGTTGGACCCAAACGATTATTTACTATTACAACTTGTTTTTTTCGGAGTTGCTCCTTTGCATCTTTTTGTATACCCCCTTGTCCGCACGTTGGTCATAAAAATCCCCAACCTACAACCACTGACGGAGTCCGATTAGATAATCGTTTGTAAATCTTGATTTTTATGACCTCAATTTCGGTACATTTTGATGGAACACAAATTGACATCTAGACGCACAGCTCGAGGGTTCAAATGTCACATCTTGTAACAAAGTGATCAAAGCAAGCCATGGCGATAGGATGTAGTGTAGAGAGTATAAGTTCTTTTTCGGCAAAGTAGGCCACAGACCTACATCCCTGGTGATGCAGCAGTAAAAGATTTGAATGCGCGAGCGTTAATTGCAGCAGCGGCGGCAGCAGTCACAGCAGCCCCATATTTGAAGGGTAATGAAAAACGGTTGCCATCTGGCAGCACGTTGTGCTTCAGTGGCGAAACTGACGCGTTTTTGCTGCAGGCAAGTTGGTTTACAATTTGGATGCAATTGCTTGTGGTGTGAAATATTGAAAATAAAAATGGAGGCTGCAATTGCAAGTGTTAACTTTTGCGTCACTGTTCCGCTGTGGTTTGGTTTTCCATTGTTGGTATGATACAATTCGCCTTGCTACCGGCGGATCTACCGATGGGGATTTTCATCTGTGATTTGTAAGTTGAATAGCGACTGGTTGAATTTCAGCAACGTACTTCCTACCGTCCGAAGTATTTCCAGTGACGACGACCAGGTCAGGTTTTCGTCGACAGTTAACCGGGAAATCAGTGGAAACATGTCAGAAGGGTCTAACTCAAAACGTAAACAATGACTTGGATCGTCGATTTCTTACGAATGACACACACCCACTCACACTAACTAAATCATCTGACAGAGAAATGTTTGTTCTATGAGCTGGTGTAGTCTGATTCCGTGGGTGTGTGGTCATTCAAGAGAAATCGTCGTTCAAAGTCATTGTTTACGTTTCGAGTTATACCCTTCTGACATGTTGCCCTTGAAATGTAAATCTTCATTACAGATCTTCAGCGGATTTGTTATAAGGTGGTGAACCCTCAGTTTTGTACCCCTGTCTCTTTTACTTTTACGATTCACTCATCACATTCCATGACGGTAGCGTAAAAGTGAAAGTGATATCGCAACCAATTCTCCTGTTTTTGTTTTTTTAGTTTAGAGAACTTCATTGAAAGCCAAATTTTTTGAAGCTTAGCCAACTGCGAAGCTAAGGGAGTATCGTAAAAGTCCGATAAACTTCTTAGAACTTCAGAGTTTGATTTGGGAACTTACTGGAAGATTATGGAACTTTGTTTCACTCAGATGTTTAGGAAAAATCGTAGAAAAGGTTCAGGGTCTTCTCTGAAGTTTGGAGAAGGTCATGAATGTCTTGAGATCTTGATTGAATTGAGAGAACTTGTAAAAAAAACTTTGAAGAGGAACTTTGCTAGGAGGATTTACAGGAAATTCTTACAGTTTTAGCAAACTTGGTAGATATGTAGTTTATATAAGCTACGGAAAAATCTTATATATTCTGGGACCTTCGTAGAGGTTGACCGAATTTCTCAGAACTTCCCACAATATCCAGGAATTTCATATAGGCTTCGGGCATTGGGAGCTTCGTTTGAAGTGAGCTTAGGCAAAAAACTTTATGGTAATACAGGACCCTTCGTAAAAGTTCAAGAAACTTCAAGCAATTTGAATAATATATCAATGGATATTTTTTGGTTGATCAAGTAATATTGTAAAGATCTTCAACTGTTCAAAAATTCAAATGTCATCCCTCAGGTATTCTCCCAAAATGGCAATCAGTAAGTATTCAAAAAATATCCAGCTCTCCAAATCCAGAGGTTTTCGGTTAGTAGTCAAATCGAAAAAGTATTGAAAGTTATGAAATTAAATTATTTTTTTAGAGTTGGTTGGAAATGCTATCTAACATAAAACTTTAGTGAGATCATTAATTAGCTAGACAAAGGTCTGAAGATGATAGGTGGATAGTTCCACTAGAGTACGGCAGTATGAAAATTGAATAGAAGTTGAAAATGAGCGAAAGGGCCATTAATGCAACAGTACTAGTCAAATGCACCTTAAGGGCCACCCACATTAGGCTCGTTTGCACGTTGCGTTGAAGTAAATTAGACAGTTAGACAATAGATTTAGCTGTCACTTTGCCGCAACGCGTCCGATCCGGATCTAATGTGCGTGGGCCTTAACTCGTACAATGTACGAGGAGATTTGAAATATTAGTACTCTAGCGGAACTATCCACCTACCATCTTTAGACCTTTCTTTAACTAATAAATTATCACACTAAAGCTTCAGAAAGCATTTACAACCATCTATGAAAATCGTTTACTTCACGAAGTAACATGAAAACACTTTGAATGTATTTTTTTTTTTTAATTTCTAGACCATCAATAAATCTCACCAAAATTTCTCATCTAATTTAAAAAAGAGAATTTTATACAACAAAAAAATATATAGGACTACCTGGTACGGGTTCCGATTATAGACACTGTATATAGACCGGACAATGTAAAATCATGCAATCTGGTAGCCCTGATAAATGTCGTTAACTTGAAAAATAAATCTGGCATCACTTGAATTTGTTCAAACTTTCAGGGAGCAGCTCAATAAGCCAAGAAAAAGATTTTTGTTTTTGCTTTTCCTTTGCTTTTGTTTTGATTCCATTCGTGCATAGAAGAGCTGTTAAATAAAAGTGCTGTGTAAAAATGAATTGCGCTCACCGAAATTGCGGCAATAGCACGCGATGTGAAGTAGATTCCGTGGGTTTCTTCCGTTTTCCGAAAAAGGATACCATCAGACAGATTTGGCTAGCATTCTGTGGCCTTCCGGATAGCTTTCAACTACAAGAAACTCATCGGATGTGTAGCGTAAGTACAAAAAATAAACTATGTTTTCGTCATTGCTAATTGAAGCGAATTTTTTCAGTTACATTTTCTTGCTAGTGTCCTCTACTTCGATACCAACGGAAAGACACGAAAAATTAAGGACGTAGGTGCAATTTTCGCCTCTGAGAGTTGGAAAATCTTCCATAAACAGTTCATTGAAGTGCTGATGCGTATCATCCTTCCCGGCAATGCGAAAGTTCTCGAGTCAATCACCGTTACCGAAGCACTGTGTAGCTTCTTGCTTCGATGTTAATGTAATTTGCATCCAAGAATAATCCAACACTACGGGGCAACCACGGTTTCCAGCGGGTTTCCAGTACTCCAGTAATGTCTCCCCCACTCGTTTTTCAGTCGTCGTTCGTGCTCTGCCGTACGTTTTTCAGTCGTCGTCGTACATCATCAGCTGGAAAATTGTGAAAGATGAAATAGAGACTCATACTAATTTGAAATTATACCTACCGTACTGTTGACACTCCCATAAAATGTTTGCTTCTGACAGATGGACCTCGTTTAGCCAGGTGGTTGGGAACGTTTCCCATGGGAATTGAAAAAAACAATTCAAGAAATAAAAATAATAAATTCAAGAAACTTATTGATGAATCGAGAGCAGAGATTCAAATGCCAGTGGCCGGATGTTGTTTTAAAACATATAGCTGGGTAGAGTAAACGCAAACCGTAGTGGATGTTGAAATTGTAATCCTGTTGAGAGAGAGGAACCTTTTCACTATCACAAATCCAGCCGCTTACAAATAATATGTTGGAAAAACTTACATTGAGAGAAACAAAATTTTACTAGGAGTTCGCCTCTTTGTTTATGTTTAGCTTTTTGTCAAAACAACACTAGATCACAATACTTGCTCCTTTGAAGCAAACCAAAGGATGACAGTCCGTTTGGATACACTTTTTGACAGTTCGTTTGGCTGCATAAGACAAACGTTGTCCAGTCTATATACAGTGTCTATAGTTCCGATAGGGCACAAAAGGACACTTCCAAAATCTCATGTACTGGTACCGTCAGACGGCTCAAAATGTATGATTTTTCATCCAGAAGTAAATAGACATCATACCATGGACCAACAGGTGGATCTGGCCACATCTGGATACTGATTTTGCTTGAAAAATATGAATTTTCTTGCCTTTGTTTACATCTCCTCAACACCGCTCACAAATTGGTGTCTTTTTCTCACAAATTGGTGACTTTCTCATTATTTGTTTACAATTGCTTGATTGAGCTAATCCCTCCCCTTGGCTAGTTTTTGCACCTTGCTGTTGGTGGGCGGGCTTAATTTCATGCTAGTGGAGTGTTGGATACGGTAGGTTTATGGTCGGCGTTGCTGGCTCATGCCACGATAGAATGACGTCATGGGCAGGCAATGAAGATTACTAGGCTTCCCCTCTCTGATAAACCACTGCATGAGAGAACCAAAGATCTAGTCCAGCAGTGATAGTATCACACTTGTTACTCCTTTAATTGAGAGCCGCGTCGTAGTACGCTTACGTATCGGCACTGACGTTGGGTGTGATACTGGCGGGTTTTGCCGCAAATCACTCTTATTTTTATTTATTTTTACGCAGATATTTGGGCAAGGGAATTATACTATTGAAATATTTCAGAAAGTGTCCAAAGGTGCTCCTTCTATTTGTGTGACAAGCTTTCATTGTTGTTTTCATTGAAGTAGGTATTACTCAGGGAACAATGTTAAACACCATTTTTGTACAATGGTATTGTAACTAATCTTATATGTGCTTCATTTTGATTTGGAATAAATGTTTGAACTATGGCTCGGGATTTCCACTGTGGTGTGCTTCTATTGTGATATATCCATACGTAATTTTGTGAGACGACATAGTGGAAACGTGTGAGCGTAGTTGGATCATATACACTAAATAATTTAAAATCAGCTAGGAAAGTATGAAGCATTTTAGTCACTTGAAGGTGTCACCTGGGTCGAACTTAGCTATAATAAATAGGTATAGGTCAAAATCTAGAGTACTTGAAACACGTTTAGTTTTAG